AGGCGATGAGTTTTATTTGGATCACTCGGTCGACGGCAACCCTATATTCCCCGCCACCGGCTATTTGATGCTGGCGTGGCGTAAACTGGCGGCCACCATGGGCAAATTGTGGTACAGCGTGCCCGTTATATTTGAGAATGTTCAATTAAAAAGGGCCATATTTTTGACCGAGGACAAAGACACCACTCTTACCGTTAAATATTATCCATTAAACGGTTAGATATTTTAACATAATAAAATGTTATTAAATAATTTTATGATATTTAATTAACCTGATTTACTAAATTTGATCCAGGTGAATTTTCAATCTACGAGAACGACAACGTTTGCGTTTCGGGCAAAATCCGTGCGCCGGGCGATGACGTGCTAATAGCGCAGCACTTGCTCTACGAAAACGAGCGCAAACTTTCGGAGACCCAGTACTCGGTTAATAGGGACGACATATACAAAGAGTTAGGTATTATGGGCTTAGACTACGGGCCGGCGTTTCAACGGCTACGCAAAGTGGGCACAAATGATTACAACGAGTTTTACGGTGTGTGCGAATGGGACGGACAGTTTGTCAGTTATATGGACGCGTTGTCCCAATCGCGCGCCCTATCGGTGCCGTTTCGCAAAATGCTTTTACCTGTGCTGATCCGGAAGTTACGGCTCGACCCACGGGTTATGTTTGACGCTTTCAAACGGCACAGGCGTCAAGTGGACGAACCGACCACTGATGGCACCGTCGCCTCCAATCCGAGCCAATTGAACGTCGATATCGACAATGCTTTGGGCTCTACAGTAGTCCCCGGTTCCGAAGTCACGAATGGCGAGCAAAACACTATTTCGACGGTTATGGCCAAAGAGAAAGTCCGATTCAACGAACGCTTCGCCGTCTACTCATCGGAAATACCGTTTTATTACAATTTGAATACAAAACAATTGGTGTCTCCGGGCGTTGAACTCGAAGAGGTTATCGTATTTCCCGTACCCCGACGTACGGACACCACTGGTCTGGTCTTGGATTCCTCAGAGTTCTGCGCCAACGATGATAATCAGGCCATTGATGACAGTTTATCGACAGCTGTGTCTAAATATTTAGAGGTTATTATAAAGTTTTTAATTATAAAATTTGCATTCATAACAATAATATAAATTACAATACATGTATAACTTTGTGAAACGATTATAACTATTTATTTAATGATTATACTATAATAGGTTTGTAAATCAATGGCGGCTAAAGTAAAGCAATTGGATGTCAGAGAAATGAAATGCGATTTTAATTATAAAAACATCGGCGAAGAAGTACTTCAAAAATTGAGGAGCGATTCCACTGAAAGTCATGTTATGTTTCGTACATTTGATAAATTACTGACAGAAGTTGTGGACGAAAATCGTAATAAACTAAACGGCAAAGAAGTGGCAAAGATTTTGAACGAAATACAAACAAATCCTGAATACGATTTGAGTAAAGATTTGGTGAATCAGATCCAGAAGAATGAACGTATGGTCAGATCATTGATGGAAATTGTTTGCGAAAACAATGTAACAAATAGTGATATAAATGTCACCGAAATTAATATGAGTAACAATTTTATGGCTAAAGATGTGGAACAGATTGTCACACATTTTCGTATACTTCCCTTTGAAGTCGATTATAAACTTATTGTGAAAAGTAAACAATCGGTGAATGAATTGTATAGAGAAAGAGCCACTGAATGGCAACTTAAAGATGACATACCATTAAAACCCTCGCATTTGGTTATAATGAGAGACACACAAGACTTATGGCAAATGGATTTGAATAAATTCACACAAGACTTGTTTGACTCCATAAACAGCAATGGATTCCTATTATCGATATTTCGGTATAAGTTTACGGAACCGGAGATTGCGTTCATGTCTTTGACGGAAAAACCAATTCCCAGTAATAATGAATTGGATGTACGGATCAAACAGTTTGTATCGATTGCCACCGAAACTGGATTTAATTTAATCGCAACAAAAAACGATACAATCGGAACCGTATGCCTAATGTTTAGAAAAATCATTCACAAACCTATTGTACCAGAAAAACAAAATGTTATCAAAATAACCGGCGATTATCAGCAATGGTTTGGAGTATTGCAGGAGAAACTGATTACCGCTAAGGAAGCGGACAATAAGACCGATAACATATGGCTTGTATCGCAGGACTCGAGTATTAACGGTATCATTGGTTTAATGAATTGTTTGCGATTAGAACCGGGCGGAGAAAACTTTAGATATATCTTCCATATGGACACCAATAGTGAGACAAACATTGACTTTAATATTAAGCCCTATTCTGATATATTGGCCAACGATTTGGTCGCCAATGTTATCAAAGAGGGAAAACTGGGAACTTATAGACACATAAAACTTCCCACAGATTTTGATAAATGTGTGTCAAATGATTATTACCTAAACTCCGGCACAACAAAAGATTTAGCGGGTATTCAATGGTATGATTCCCGGAAATTACCCGAAATTNTAAATGTGTGTCAAATGATTATTACCTAAACTCCGGCACAACAAAAGATTTAGCGGGTATTCAATGGTATGATTCCCGGAAATTACCCGAAATTAAAAAGTACTGGAATTTCAATAACGAGGAAATTGTTAAAACACGGGTCGAGATATATTGTGCGGGCATTTCATTTCACGACGTTATGGTCGCTTCAGGTAAGCAAATAGTTTGCATATAATTTATTATGTATTAAGATAATTGATCAATGTTGATACCCGTTGATAATGTTAAGGCCGTATACCCTCCGGTCCGGAGCAAATATTTACAGATTGTGTTTTGGGCTGTGAATATGTGGGCCGTCGCGTGGATACCGGTGAACGGGTGATGGGTATAGATATGGGCCGTACTTTTGCCACATCAGTAAACGCCAGCATTCATAGCATGACTACAGTCCCCGAGCACTGGTCGATGGCAGACGCGGCCACTATATTGAGCACATATAGCACTCTGTACTACGCGCTCATCAAACGCGCTAATCTTAAACGAGGTTTGTTTAGAAAATATATTAAATTTATTAAAATTTTATAATTATTATAAATGCAAAAGTTAAAAGACGTTTAATTGCTAATTACTACAACTGTATTGACAATATACTTAAATGTATTAATTATATTTGTAATTGCCCATGAACATTGTAATACAGGTGAAAGTATATTAATACACTCGGCGGCGGGAGGTGTGGGTCAGGCGGCCATCAATATGTGTAAGCATTACGACTGCGATATCTATGTGACGGTTGGGACGGAAGAGAAGAAACAGTTTTTGATGAAAGAATACGATATACCGGAGGAACGGATCTTCAACTCAAGAGATATCGTATTCAAGAATCAAGTGTTGAATTTGACTGAAGGAAAG